ATTTCTTAACATCAGATTTTGCAGAGTAAAAGAAACATGGTTCCAAAACTGAGGCTCCTTTAACCCTTTCACGCATATGATCACACTGGTGTGATCAGCCTGAGCTGGTTCCTGAGGTGTACGATCACACCGGTGTGATTAGAATGTTCAGAGAAAATCTTCGTATCTTCAAAGCCAAAATATAAAAACACATGGTTCTTAAAACTTTGCTAAAACACCAAAGCTGAAGGGGGGCCAATACTTTTGCACAACGCTGTAATTAATAATTTGTGGTTGGTTATTTATGTTTAACATCAGATTTTACAGAATAAAAAAACATGGTTTCAAAACTGAGGTTCCTTTAACCCTTTCACACTGGTTAATCAGCTTAGGTAGATCCCTAAAGTGTACAATCACACCAGTGTGATTAGAATGTTCAGAGCACTGAGGGACAGAAAGCGGTGTGCAGCGGTTGTCATAAATCACAATTTATCCGTTCTTTCAAACAAATAACATTTATCGTAGGTTTCAGACATTCAAATGTACATAACTACAAGCAAAACAAACCATTTACGGTTTGTAAAATACAAACGGATATCAATGAAGACAGCAGTAATAGTTGTTTTCAGAATGTATTTCAGAAGAAAACTATTTATAAACATGACGTAAATATTTGTATCTTCAAAATTAAAATGCATGGTCCTTAAAGCTTTGCTAAAACACCAAAGCTGAAGGGGGGCCAATACTTTTGCACAATGCTGTCTATAATAATTTGTGATTCGATATTTATTTCTTAAAGTCAGATTTTGCGGAGTCTGTGCAGAATAAGTGTCCTCACTGCCGAGTCACATGCCATGTCTCCGTTTCAAAGTTCTGTTTTCTCCGAGAGCGTAAAGTGTTTCTGTGTTTCACAACCGCTGAAGTCTAGCAAAGGAGAGATTCATTAGATTACAGCACAACCTGCCGTTCATCTCTAAACCAACCATCGTAAATCTCATTCAATAGGCTGCAGAGGGTAAAGCGAGTCACATGACTTTGCTCGTTCTGCCCGTGTTAGTGTGGGTTTCCTCCGGGTGCTCCGGTTTCCCCCACCGTCCAAACACATGCGCTATAGGGGAATTGACTAAACTAAATTGGTATCGTATTATTGGTAATCGTAGTGTATGTGTGTGATTGTAAGCGTGTATGGGTGTTTCCCAGTGTTGGCTTGTGGTTAGATTGGCATCTGCTGCATAAAACAAACACTGGATAAGTTGGCGGTTCATTCCACTGTAGCGACCAACGATTAATAAAGTCAAAAAGAAATGAATGAATGAATGAATGTCAGGAAAAGGTGAACTTTTAAACTTTTTTTTTTTTTAAAGAAGACTACTAGCGGTTTAGAAAAGGTGTCAAAGTAAACTCTGTTTCAAATCGGCAGTCCACTTCCAGAAAAGTTACAATTCACGAATAACATTACAGCCAAAAAGAACATTCACGTGTGGTTTTTGTGCCTTAAATGTGTAGAATCATAATATAAACAGGCATAAATTGGTCTTAAAATGACAATAATATCACTTATCGCAATCATTTCTGACAATATACCGCACACAATAATGACTTATCGTGACAGGCCTAGTCTGAAAGATCATTAGCCGCGTTTCCACTATCGTGCCTAAACCGAGCGAGCCAGGGCGAGCCAAGGCCAGTTGCGTTTCCACTGTCACTTCCAGGGCCTAATCGAGGCTTTCTTGGGCCTCGAATACCTTGGGCCAAAGAGGCCCAGCTGAGGCTTCGGAGCAGAGTGAAAGGAGAGGCGGGCACAGTTTTCCGATCGCACATGAGTACATGCGCCAAACAAATCAATAAAAAAATGAGGGAAAGAAAACATCTAGCCTTATGGGGTCTTTTTGCGTATGATCACCCTTATGTTTCCCTTTTAAATGTAAGGCTGTTGCATGAAATAATAAAGTAGTTTAAAACTTATAAAAAAAAACAAAAAGAAGTGATGAACGTATTTCCCAAAGACCAAGCTTCCAGAACTGAAGCTACATAAAAAGTCGATGCCATTCTTTAGAGCAGGGGTCAGCAATCTCGGTCCAGGAGGGCCGGTAATCCTGCAGGGATTAACTCCAACTTGCCTCAACACACCTGCCTGGATGTTTCAAGCATACCTAGTAAGGCCTTGATGAGCTTGTTCAGGTGTGTTTGATCAGGGTTGGAGCTAAAATCTGCAGGACACCAGCCCTCCAGGAACAAGTTTGGTGACCACTGCTTTAGAGGATGTCCCTAGTATATGGTTGAATGAAAAATATTAGAGTAAGCAAATACCTTGTGTAGCCGCTTCCGTGAAACTCTGTACTGTTGAAGCTCTTTATTACGGTTTGCTGAAAAAAATAAATAAACAAGTATGTTTGATGTTCATACTGGAGTATAGGGCTAAAATAAAAAGCCTATGACTTCTTATTGAGCTCTTTTGTTTATTACAGAAATACTTCATCATTTATTTATACGAGCATGAGGATACATGCCATTACAGGAACGCAGACAGAAACAGGAGTAACAGCACGGTGAGAAAGTTGCAATACTGAAAGTAATCCCTACTGGATTATAACATAATAATAGCCGCATCTGGTCTCATAAGACTGATCAGCTCATACATTGATAAGCATCCAAAATCTCCTACTTCAATATTCCCGCAGGTGCCAAATGCTGTAAACATGACCATGAAGCCGATGCCCAGGACGATGATGTTGAGCAGGCTCTTTCCCTCGGGACTCATGATGGCGGCTGTAGTCTGTAGCTCAATCAAAACCTGGAGGAAAATAAGTGTATGAAATTCAAAAATATATATTTTTAAAATTTACAGTAAAAAACTGGCAGCTGTGGTTGCCGGAATTCTACCGTTTAAAATATGGCAGTAATATAAATTTCTACATTTTTTTATAGAAGTTACAATGTTTAGTTTGTTGATAGGCATAAAAATAAATAACAATGATCTATTTTACAGTAAATTACAGAATTTCTTTAATTTACAGTCATACACTAATGTGTTGAAGTACCTGTAAAAAAAAAAAAAAAAAGAAAATCGATAACATTTACAGTAAAAAACTGGCAGCTGTGGTTGCCGGAATTCTACCGTTTAAAATATGGCAGTAATATAACGAAATTTCTACATTTTATTTTACAGAAGTTACAATATTTAGTTTATTGATAGTCATAAAAATAAAAAAAATGATCTATTTTACAGTAAATTACTGAATTTCTTTAATTTACAGTCATACACTAATGTGTTGAAGTACCTGTAAAAAAAATAAAAATAAAAAATAAAAATAAAAATCGATAACATTTACAGTAAAAAACTGGCAGCTGTGGTTGCCAGAATTTTACCGTTAAAAATATGGCAGTAATATAAAGAAATTTCTACATTTTTTTTTTTTAGAAATTACAATATTTAGTTTATTTATAGTCATAAAAATAAATAAAAATGATCTATTTCACAGTAAATTACCGTAATTCTTTAATTAATAGTCATACACTAATGTGTTGAAGTACCTGTAAAAAATAAATAAATAAATTCAGTAAAATTTACAGTAAAAAACTGGCAGCTGTGGATGCCAGAATTTTACCGTTAAAAATATGGCAGTAATATAAAGAAATTTCCACATTTTTTATAGAAATTACAATATTTAGTTTATTTATAGTCATAAAAATAAATAAAAAGTGATCTATTTCACAGTAAATTACCGACTTTCTTTCCTTTATAGTCATACACTAATGTGTTAAAGTACCTGTAAAAAAAAAAAAAAAAAAAAAAAAATGCGGTAAAAATTATAGTAAAAAACTGGCAGCTGTGGTTGCCGGAATTGCATCATTAAAAATATGGCAGCAATACGAAGAAATTTCCAACTTTCATCATAAATTACTGTATTTCGTAAATGTAGTGATAAAAATGTGAAAGAAAAATTTCAAATTTAAAGTAAATGACCATTTTTATTAATTTATAGTCATACACCAATATTTTTGCTAAATTTACAATAAAAAAGCTGAATTTTATCGGTAAAATGTAGTAGCAATGTAAAGAAACGTAATCATTTTATGGCAAATAAACATATTTCATAGTCATAAACATGGGAAATAAATTTTTCAATTTTACTGTAAATTACTGTATTTCATTAATATATAGTGATGCACCAATGTTTTTGTAAAATTTACAATAAAATTGGCAGCTGTAGTTGGTGGAATTTTACCAATAAAATATGGTAATAATTTAAAGAAATTTCTCTATTTTATGGTAAATTACCATATTTCATTCATTTATGGTCATAAAAATGAAAATAAATTACTCAATTTTATGGCAAACTACTGTGATTCAACCATATATGGTTATACACCAATGTTTTGAAGTACCTGCAACAATAATTATGTGAACGTTTACTGTTAAAAACACAGTGAGAATGTAAAAGAAATTTCTCTATTTTACATTAAATTATCATATTTGATTCATTTACAGTCATTCATATTTTTTAAAATAGCTTTAAAAAAATCTGTGAAATGTAGGGTAAAACATGGCAGCTGTGGTTGCCAGAATGTTATCGTTATAAATACAGCAGGAATGTAAAATACATTTCTAAACTTTACGGTAAATTACAGAATTTCATTAATTTATGGTCATGTTTTGAAGAACTTGTAAAAAAAAAAATTGTGGTTGCTGGAATTTTACAGTTAAAAGGGTAGGGTGGTAATGTATAGATATTGATGGTACATTACTGTATTTCATTTATTTATAGTCATAGACCAATGTTTTGAAGTAAATGTAAAAAATAATCAGTAAAATTTACAGTAAAAAACGGGCAGCTGTGGTTGCTGGAAATTTGCTGTTAAATATATGGCAGTAATATAAAGAAATTTCTACATTTTTTTTTAAAATTATAATATTGTTTATTTATAGTCATATAAATAAATAAAAATTATCTATTTCACAGTAAATTACTGTATTTCTTTAATTTACAGTCATACACTAATGTGTTGAAGTACCTGTAAAAAATTTTTTTTTAAAAAATCTGTAAAATTTACAGTAAAAAACTGGCAGCTGTGGTTGCCGGAATTTTACCGTTAAAAATATGGCATTAATATAAAGAAATTTCTACATTTTTTTTTTTTAGAAATTACAATATTTTGTTTATTTATAGTTATAAAAATAAATAAAAATGATCTATTTCACAGTAAATTACTGTATTTCTTTAATTTATAGTCATACACTAATGTGTTGAAAAAAACAGGAATGTAGAAGGAATTTCTAAAAGTTATCGTAAGGAAGTGGAAATGTTTTATCATAAGAAATATTATCATATTCCTCAACAATATGGCATTTCCCACGTTTTTCCAGTATCGTTCAGCCCTTGTTCACACAACTACTAAACAACAACATCACAATAAAGTAATGAAATAAACATTATTTATCAACATTGCGTGTAACATAAAACTAAAAACAAGGAAAAAAACTACAAAGAACCACAATAATGTCAACAAAAAAGCATAAAAAGTGTAATGCAGGGAAAGTCAAATTACTGTTAATAGAATAACATATATTATGGAAACTTACTGTTAGCCTGGTTACAGATTTATTTACAGTAACATTTTAACTTTTTTCCGGACTTTTTTACAGTGTAGTCAAGAAAAGTCAAGTGACAGCTGACTGACACAACTGGTTCAAGAGCTGAATCTGCTGATTCTCCATCTGCTTCCTCATGAGATCAACACCATATGAACAATCACTGTTTACACGGTGAGGAAAAAAAAGTCTATACATGCTAAATGCTACATTTGTGATGCTAATAATGCATCCGACTCATCGTAAACCGATTTTAACTGTCATTAATATCATTTAGGCTCGTGAATGGAGGCAGACTGCAGCGTTTTAATCGTGTGAAGTCAACTTACCGACTGCTTGAATGTCCAAAGCTAATGCATAATCATCCGCAGGCTGATCAAGACGATTTTAATCCACGCGGAAGCATTTTGTAAAAGCAGGTGAACGTGAATACAATAGATGTATTAGTTTCCTACTTCTCGGAACAGCTCCTGTCTGATCGTCTGAAATCCAAAATGTCTGTCATGTGACTTCCATCAGCTGACGGTGACGTCATCGCCATGCGCCGCCGGAATGACTTGTGGGAGGTGTAGTTTTTCCGCAAGTCTGAAAATGAGATGTTATGAAAATAGTTCACCCAAAAATACAATTCACTCCCTGTTTAGTCGATATTAAGTGGTTCTAAACCTTTTAGGAGTTTCTTTCTTCTGTTGAACTCTAAAGAGGATATATTAAAGAAAGCTAAAAACCGGTAACCATTTACTTGTAACCATATATATAAAATTCAGTACTGTATTAATTTACTTACATGTTTATTTTCCTATTTATTTTAAAACAGATTTAATAGCTCATTTTGGTCTTAATTAACTTATTTAAATCACATTTTGGGCAATTTGTTTAATCTAAATTGTATTTAATAATATTTTATTATTTGTTTTACGATTATTTAATTATTTAAGTACATTTTTGTTTAGTTATTGACTTCATGAATTTCACAGTAAAATCTCATTTTTATTAAATATGTTATTTAGACATCCATATGAAAAGCAAATACTGTAGAAGTTGTTGCAACGTTTTTCAAAATATCCTATTTTGTTTAACTCATTGATGTTTGAGGTGAGTAAATGATTTGCTGGTAAACTTTCACTTTAAACAGATAGATCACCCAAGAAACTCACTATTTACTATCTCCCAAGTGGTTCCAATCCTTTGAGAGTTTCTTTCACCTGTTGAACACAAAATATTTTGAAGACAGATGAATACGATGCAGCTGGAAGGGCATCCAGTGTGTTGAACATATGTCAGAATAGTTGGTGGTTCATTCCACTTTGGTGACTTCTGATAAACAGGGGACTAAGCTAAAGGAAAATGAATGATTAAAAAAAAGTTAAAAACCTGTAACCACTGACTTCCATATAGTTGGAATAACAAATATTATGAAAGTCTATGGTTACCGGTTCCCAACATTCTCTAAATTATCTCCCTTTTTTGTTGTACAACAGAAGAAAGAAACTCAAACACTTTTTAAACAAGTAAAGGATCAGTAAATTATTGCAGATTTTCATTTTTAGGGTGAACTATCTCTAAAGCAAAAAGAAACATATTACAACCACCAAGTGGCGCTAAAAGCCTTTTGTCTTCAGTTTTCCGCGGAGGCGGTAAAGACTAGAAGCGATACAGCTGTGGATATTCACGCTATTAAAGCATCATTTATGTGACTCTGTAAAACAGTAATTCATATTTTCTTAATTTCTATGAGGTTTGGTTTTAGGGTTATGGCCAGGGCATGCGTTAATAAAACACAATTTAATGGGCGATTTAATAATTAATATAAATAATACTCGGTATAATTGCTGTTTTTACATTACTGTCAGTGTTGAGATTAGGATTGGGCTTGGAGTAGACGTTAATTAAATTCAATTAACAGGTCATTTGATAAATATTATAAATAATTCTTGTTAACGTACGGCCGCGGCTGTATCCCTTCTATCAACAACCGGCCATTTTGGGAGTGCCAATGCCCATGCGCAAGCTCATTGTTGTACTGGCGGGCAGGTCGACGGCAACTAGTGTTTGTTTATTGCTGGAATACGCGGTCAGACTTAGTTGTTGAAGACAAAAGCGAATCAAATTCTCTTGTTTTGTTTGGTACGTTTATTCAAAATGAGCTACGGCAGGCCTCCGCCGGACGTCGACGGAATGACTTCGTTAAAAGTGGATAATTTAACGTACCGCACGTCGCCGGAGACGCTGAGGCGCGTCTTTGAAAAGTACGGCCGAGTTGGAGACGTTTATATTCCGCGAGATCGATACACAAAAGAGAGCCGAGGATTCGCTTTTGTGCGCTTTCACGATAAGAGGGACGCCGAAGACGCAATGGACGCGATGGATGGAGCGATACTGGACGGCAGGGAGCTCAGGGTTCAGATGGCCCGGTACGGCAGGCCGCCAGACTCCTACTACGGCGGCGGCGGCGGCGGACGGCGCGGCAGCGGTGGCGGGGGAGGCAGTAGAAGACACGGTGCACGCCGCAGCCGGAGGTAAACATTTAAGCAGACGATTTTCCCAAAGCGATTTACAATTGAGGCATTCAGCGACTGAATAAGAAGAGCAATACACACCATGTGCTAGTTATAAAAACATTAAACAACAGCACGTTAGAATACACCGACTGTACCATTTGTCAAGACTGTTGTTTGTTTGTGTCGAACTACCGAACAAAAGCGTGTATTTTTTTTTTTTTTTTTAAGTAGTTCAGTATGGAGGGTGTTTAGGGCCAAAATGTTTGACAAGCGTGAGGTAAAGTTGTATTCAGACTTTCATCTTCTTAACGAAATTTTGGAAACGCACTCTTTGCAAGCTCTAAATAGGGATATCCTATCAGCACCCAATGACTATCAAAGTACACCATCGTTCACGTTGAATATTCAGTCTGAAATCACATGCAAGTATGACTTCTAAAGGATTGTCATTATTTAACTGAGTGTGAACAATTTTGTACTTGGATAGACCTTGGTTGCTAATTTGATTTCCCCATTGAGAATTTGCGAATAATACTTTTTTGATATTATATTAAGGCGAACGTTTGAATGTTCGCAAATAAAACCAAATGTAACTGAATCAATATGGAAGGTGTTTAGGGCCAAAAAAATGTTTTTTTGTTTTTAATATCGCTGTTAATCTATTCTCAATTTTGGGTTGGAAGCTATTCTACGGTCTATTCTACGCAAGCTATGATGACCTTTATGCTTTTACGCTGCTTGTAGGCTTTGCATAGGCCTAATATACGGGAGCACACTTGCGTCTTAGGTCCTGTCAGATGTGGCACCCGCACTCTCATTCCTATACAGCAGACAGTGGCTGTGTGAAATTCCACTGTGCTGTGCCTGATTCAGAGAGCAAAAGTTTGCAATTGCGCGACCATGTAGAGACAGAAATCACATCACATTGTGTTAATAAGATATGAGCTTGTTTATTTAAAGAAGTTGTGATCTGGTGCTGTATAAAATAATATATAATTAACTTGCCTTCAAGGGGGGCGGGGAAAGCTGTTGGGAGGGTAAGGCGCCCTCCTTATATGATGCTAGGGAAACACTGTTTGGATTAACCACTGCTTTTTTTTGGTATCAGGTAATTTCAGTGACCCCTGTGGGCTTTTCTTTCTTCAATTGAAGGGTACCAACAGTTTTGTCCGTGTGTGTGTTTGTTATTATTATTATTATTATTATTATTATAACATTATATTTACTTTTAAACGCATGCTTTTTTATTTTGTAAATTTTTATTTTTTTAATATATTTTTTATTTTATTAGGTAAACCGTACAGTAATAAACCAGCATTATAAAACTAATATTACAATTCTGATCATCATATTTGAATACAATTGGAAGTCAAAAAGTTGCTATTTTCTAGGCTGATATGGCTAGCAACTATACTCTTATTCTGGCATGGTAACCCCCACTTTGGCAACTTGCACTTTGTAATATAATTTATGCATGTGTCGATGTAACAATAGTAGAGTCGAGCTTTAAATAGGAAAACAATAATCGTTTTTGAGTGAGATGCTAATGGTTTAATCTGATTCAATGATTTATGCGAAGCTAAAAGTAATCCTGCAGACCAGCTCCTCTTATTGTGAATTGACTCAAATATGAAGTAATCCATCATTTGTGTGTTTTCCTCTTCCGCAGTCCGAGGCGCCGGAGACGCAGCCGTTCCAGAAGCAGGAGCCGGTCTCGTTCCCGCTCTCGGTCCCGCTACAGCAGATCACGCTCGCGCTCCTATTCCCGATCCCGCTCCAAATCCCACACTCCCAACAAGAGGAAGTCCAAATCTCCCTCCAGGTCCAGGTCACGCTCAAGATCCAAATCCAGGTCCCGTTCCCGGAGCCGAACGCCGGCGTCCAACAGAGAGTCGCGGTCCAGGTCTAAAAGCGCACCGAAGTCTGCTGGAGATGACGGACAGGCATCATCGTAACTCTGCTCAGGGTAAGACACACGTGCTGATATTCAATAACTTTATATATTGTTTATTAATATGCAAACAGGTACAGAAATGACATGGAATCAAATACAAAAGAAAAACAAATTACACAAAAAATACTACAGCCAGGTGTGTGTGTGTGTGTGTGTGTGTATGTGTGTGTGTGTGTGTGTGTGTGTGTGTGTGTGTGTGTGTAAAGGTAACTAGATCGACAGATCAAAGTATATAAACAAGAGAACATGTAAAAGTTAATGTACAACGTGATTCATAAAATGAAGCAACAATAATATAGATATAAATAGATCATATAACAGATGTATAGACAGAATAAAAGAATAAAACAAAACCAATCAATGGTGGGGAATGATAAAAAGATTATTAATGATGGTAATAATGACAACAATATCAATAATACTACTACTAAGAGCTGCACAATAAATCGTAAAAAGATCCGTGATCTCGATACAACCCCTTAGACCAGGGGTGTCAAACTCAATCCCTGGAGGGTCGAAGCCCTGCACAGTTTAGTTCCAACCCTGCTCCAACACACCTACCTGTAGGTTTCAAACAAGCCTGAAGGACTCAATTAGTTTGATCAGGTGTGTTTAATTAGGGTTGGAACTAAACTGTGCAGAGCTGCGGCCCTTTTGGAACTGAGTTTGACACCTGTGCCCTAGACGATCTTAATCCAGCATTTCTACGATTCTGCCAATCATATTTTCAAGTTCAGGAGAGAAGCAAATTGTCTTCGCATTGTTTTACATACAGTGTTCAGCAATGTGGACACCTCCAAATGGTGCTGAAAGAGTCACATGCTGTATTTATAAGATATAATTCACCTCAAAAATGTCATTTCTGTCTTCATGTAATGATGTAATTGCGACCACAAAATCACACGTGACGTGTGCTGCTGACTGTGAGCTGTTACCACAGAGAGGGCGGGCTCGCACCTCTGAATGAAGTGTACTTTAGTGAACAGAACCTGCATATGCTGTGAATAACGGGTAATAAAGGTGCAAATAACATTCAGTTTGTGGCACAGAGTGGTCGTTTGGGAGCCGTGCGGGAAGTATGAACAGCACTGAAATGAAAATGAAACCGAAAGTGCACACAGTGTTGCCAGATGTAGCTGACTGATTCCAGCCCAAAAAAAATATCCAAAACCCGCCCAAATGCAAAAATACCCACACAGTCTTCTGTATTCACGAAAATCACGTCAGTGACAGATTTTAAGCAGAAAATGACAGATTGTAAACAAATGACTCAAACACAATAATTCAACATCAGAATCATTATCAGCATTAATGACCAGGACACATCTAAAGTCTGTTCAAGTCCACCATTCCAAGTCTATACAACATTTAGCAATTTAACCAAAAGTACAGCTACACAAAGCCTATTGCTGTTTCCCCACATGTTTGAGAACAACAATAATAATAGCCAACTCGTATTAATCTTTATATCTACAGAATCCTGAGAAAATCCTGATCTTTATTTTAGGCCAAAAAAATTGCTATTCTCAATTTTAGCCAGAATCGTGCAGCTCTACTACTACTGTTGTCTAATATGTTGTGTGATCATAAACATGCACAATGGTGATTGTCGTGGGCACTTCAAAATACTGTGACTAAACCTTTAGAGAAAGTCTTATTTGTTTTATTTCGGCTAGAATAAAAGCAGTTTTTAACTTCTTTAAACTAGTGGTGGGCGTTAATGTGCTGCGGTACCGGAAGACTCTACTTGCGCAATTAAAAGAAATATCGCCATTAATCTATTCTTAATGTTGGGTTGGAAGCTGGGTCTATTCTACGCAAGCTATGATGAATTTCACCTTAATATTTTAGTGCGGATGTATACCTGACCAGTGAGCTGTCTGACAAAAAAGTGCCCTTCTAAATCAAATCAGCAGGATGCCCTTCTGGATCTTTCAATTACTTCAAAGATTCTACTGACTACACCTACATGGACATCTGTAATCTAGTTATTCGCCTTAATAGACAATAATATAATGAAGGTGTTCACCTGAAGTGCTTTCATGTAAAAGTTTCCTGTCATTTTAGGTGACTTGAACTGCATTTCGGCAGTTTCACTTTCACTCATGCCCCCGTGACAAACTGGGGTATTAGACACAAATAAGGGGTAAGGACTGGTGAGAGTGTTATAAAATTTAATAAAGAACGACAAATTATAAGCAAAAACTTCCACATTTCGCAATGTGTGTGACAGCCATGCATGTGGATCTTGTTGTAAAATCTGGCGAAAAGTCCTACATGAGGGTAATAGTTTGATTGTGGTGTTTACTTCAATAATGCCACTAATATCTGCAGACTCCACATGTCTTGATTCCATTTCTGTTTGGTTCAGTGATGACTTTAGTCTGATTAAGGGCATCAGAAATGGAGCTGATGTAGGCCGACAGTTCAACATACATGTTTAACTGAAAAAACAGTCAGTAAACACAAGCACATCTTATTGAACATCATTTATGTTCATCACTACTTATCAGAGTAGATCAGTTCCTCAAACAGTTTGTGATGCATTGTGGAAGCGGGAGATAGGCCCCTGGTCTAATGCGCCACCTGGTTTGAGAAACCCGTTCTCAAAGACTTATTATTTGGGTAGCGCATATTCTGAATGTCTTCAGCAGAAATCAAATGAGCCGTTTTAATCTAGATTAATTCCAAGATGACAGTGAGATTAATCTAGATTACAAAATTAATCTATGCCCACCTATACTTTAAACCCATTTTAAGGTCTACAGAACAAACCACTGTTATACAATCACTGCTCTAACTTTACCCTAATTAACCTAGTGAAGCCTTTAAATGTCACTTTAAGCTGAATCTAGTGTCTTGAAGAATATCTAGTCTAATATTATGTGCTGCCATCATGGCAAAGATAAAATAAATCAGTGATTAGAAATGAGTTATTAAAACTATTATCTATTATAACTATTAAATCTGCTCTTCGTTGAACAGAAATTGGTGAGAAAAATACAGGAGGGCTAATAATTCTGACCTCCACTGTATATCCTGTGATATATTAATGTTTTTAGATACTTTCTCAGTCTTCTGACCAGTGTTTCTTTTCTCTCAGGTGCATCTCTTCGCTTACCGTGGGCTGATTATAAGCGTCTGGTGTCGGACGGAGCCTGAGGATCCGCAGACTGGACACCCAGAAAATCCACACCATGGGCCTAAAGGTCATTATGACTGATCGCCATGAGTGAACTGTTCAGTAGTTGCAAATCTGTTCCTTCCATACATTGTTCCCGTTTTTGCAGTGAGGTTGTTTTCAAATGTGTATGTGCTTCTGAATTCGTCGAGTAGGACGAGCATCATTTCTATTGGCCTTTAAGGTAAACGCATCTCGGTGATGGTTTCTAGCGGCACCTCACCTTTCTGTTAGAAGCATATTTAGATCTGACTTTTGTTAAAAGAAAACTTTTTTGGAAATGGGCTCATTTTACAGCTCCTCTCGAGTTAAAAATGTGAGTTATATAATTTTTCAATGCATTCAGATAATTTTCGGGTCTGCAGGGGAACGTTTAGCTTAGCTTAGCATAAATCATTGAATCGAATTAGACCATTAGCATCTCATTCAAAAAAGAAAAACTATTTTTGATTTGATTTTTTTATCAAAAAAATTATTACTAAGTACTAAGACCAACACAAAATGAAAACTTGCTATTTTCTTGGCTAATATAACTAGCTATACTCTCATTCTGGCATAATATTAATCTCCAGAATTACTAGCACTGTGTAATGTGATTTTTATATCATTTATGCCTGTGGGGATGTAACTAAAGATGCTTTAAACAGGAAAACAATCATTGTTGAGCGAGATGCTAATGGTCTAATTTGATTCAATGATTTATGCTAAGCTATCTAATAGTGCTCCTGCAGACCAGCTCTTATAGAGTTAAACAGGTGAGTTTTAACTATTTTCAGTGCATTTAGCCAATCTCCTGGTCTGGCGGGAGCACTTTTAGCTTAGCTTAAAACATTTAGCTTAGCTTAAACATTTAATCAGATTAGACGATTAGCATCTTGCTCAAAATGTAAAAAAAAAAAGTTGCTATTTTTAGGTTGATATGGCTAGCAACTATAATTTATATACCATTTATGCCTGTTGCGACCTAACTATAGAAGAGTCAAGCTTTAAATAAGAAAACAATAATTTTTGAGCAAGATGCTAATGGTCTAATCCGATTCAATGATTTATGCTAAGCTAAGCTGTTAGTGCTCCTGCAGACCAGCTCTTCTAGCGTTAAATAGGTGAGTTTTACCTATTTTTAGAGCATTCAGCCAATCTCCAAGTCTGGCACGAGCATTTTTAGCTTAGCTTGGCATAAATTATTGAATCAGATTAGACCAATAGCATCTTGCTCTAAATAGCAAAAAAAGTTGCTATTTTTAGGCTAAAGTGGCTAGCAACTATACTCTATAACCTAGCTAGCAACTATACAACAAATTTATATATCATTTATGCCTGTAGCGATGTAACTATAGTAGAGTCGAGCTCTAGAGAGGAAAACAGTTTTTGAGCAAGATGCTAATGGTCTAATGCGATTCAATTATTTATGCTAAGCTAAGCTAATAGTGCTCTTGCAGACTAGCTATTGTAGAGTTAAATAGGTGAGTTTTACTTATTTTCAGTGCATTCAGACAATCCCCTTTTCTGGCAGGAGCACTTTTAGCTTAGCTTAGCATAAAACATTGAATTGGATTAGACCATTAGCATCTTGCTCGAAATAAAAAAAAATGTTGCTATTTTTAGGCTGATATGGCTAGCAACTATACAACTATAATTTATATAGCATTTATGCCTGTGGCGATGTAACTATAGTAGAGTTGAGCTTTAAATAGGAAAACAATCATTTTTGAGCAAGATGCTAATGGTCTAATAAGATTTAATGATTTATGCTAAGCTAACAGTGCTCCTGCAGACCGCCTCTTCTAGAGTT